ACAGGGAAAAGGATTTTGGAGTCTCTGGCCAGGAGGGATTTTATAGTACTGTACACAGGTGGGCTGTTACCCTTCCCTTTATAGTTATGACAGGGTCGAAGTGCACAAGCAGCTCAACTTGCTCTCCGAATGCTTGCGATTGCAAAAAAAAAAAGCACTAATGCAATTCTTAGACGTATAACTAGCAGAGTAGCGAGTAGGCGCAGTAAGGATTTGATTTTACCTGTGTATATGGCATTGGTGAGACCAATACTGGAATACTGTGTACAGTTCTGGTGTCCACATCTTTAAAAGGATGTTGAAAAATTGGAGACCATGACCTCCTGAATATCACAGGCCTTTTCATTTTGCCCAGTTACTCCTGTATTTCACCCAATAGTTTGTTGGGCTAGAGCATCTCTTCCAGAAAGGCATCTAGGCTTGGTTAGATGACATCAACTCTCTTTGGAGTTTGTTCCAGTGGTTAATCAGCCGCACTGTTAATAAATCTAATTGGTCTGTCTTTAATTTCAAGCCGTTGGTTCTTATTATGCCTTCCTCTGCCTTTGGTACCTGGCATTTTCTCTCCATGAAGGTACTTATACAGTGTAATCAAGTCACCTTTCAATCTTATTTTTGATAAGCTAGACAGATTGAACTCCTTCAATCTCTCACTGTAAGGCGTTTTTCCAGGTCTCATCTTTTTCTTTTTTTATGTTCTCTGCAACCTCCAATTTTTCAACATCATTTTTCTAGTGTTGACACCAGATCTCTATGCAGTTATTCCCACACTGGTCTCATCAATGCAGCGTAGAGAGGTAACATCACCCCCCTCCTACCTGCTCCTCTTGTCACACAGGGGTGATGTGGATATAAATTCCTTTAATGTTTGAGAGTCTCTCCGATGCTGTGTGGATGAACACCGTAGAAAAGACCACGAGGAAATGAATAATGCTCTATTCAGGGCAGGCTTTGGCTGGTGTCCAGTACATAAGGCAAGGGTCACTAAAAGAAATATGAAAAAAAATAGTGAACAGCTGTTCATCCTGTGCACTGAATGAGCCAGCGGTCCTGTGGACGACAGTCTCATAATGCATGTGCACAAGGGGGCAGAATTAATGTTGCACAGGCAACATAAACTGGCTTGATTTCACAACCTTAATAGTGTTCTTTTATCATACAGATTTTCTTTTTAAAAATGTATTTTATTTACATTCTGTTACCAATAGATAAAGTAAGTGTCAACTGTCCTCATCTGCCCGCCATCTAGCCCCCATTAGTGAACTCACGATCACAATACTAGTGGCTCTTGGCGTATACAGCACTTTTCATCAGTAGCTGTCAAAGCACTTTACAAAAGTGGGTACTCAGTGGTATCCCACCTCTGTGTTACAAAGGAGGTGACTGAGTCACAGAGAGCTTGAGGCCACCACTTCCAAGCATAGGTGCCCAGAGCTAGGCATCCATGTTTAGGCACCTAGATCTGTGCTCTGATTTTCAAAGGTGCTGCACACCTCCACTTACGAGGTTCCTGTGCTCAGCACCTCTCAAATTCAGGCCACTTGTTTACGTGACTAACGGGTGCCTGATTTTTTCATTTCTTCCATTTCGTGCTAGTCTACATCCTATTGCATGTCATGAGGCCTCGGATCACAACCAGACTGTTTGTGACCCAAGAAGTCTTTAAAAAGCTGGATTCTAGCACTAGAAACTGGGGGAAGAATGATACCCAACATGGCGCCTACTGATTGCTGAAAAGATTTACCAAACATGCTGATAAGGGAGGAAATTTGGGGGAATTAAACTCAGGGCTAGAAACCAGAAATTCCTGGGTTCTCCTTTGAGTGATTGTCCATACCCAGATTCCACTCATGGTGTGCATGCGTCCCATGTGCCTGAGATCAGAGTTGTTTGTCTAGCAATGTCCAGCGTGGCCACAGATGGTAGGTACAGTTCATTACTATGCCAGTTGGTGTCACAGTAGTAGATTTTTCAGAGTAGGTTCCTTTGTACCAGCAGATTGCTTATTTTTCTTCCTAGTTCTAAGTCTCCTGGTTTCAAACACTGGCCCTTATGTGTGGTGCTGTGCCCATAAAACACGTTAATTCCGTTTGGGGGAGTCGTCGGCCACGGTAAATGTGCGATACGTAAGTCATTTACACCTAGGTCTTGACAGGGAGGCTCATCTCCAGATATTTCTAATGGCCCCCGGGTCGTTTGGCCCCACTGTACACGAGCTGACTGTATCTGAGTGCTTCTGTTAGCACGGTCTCTGCAACCTCTGAAATCCCATTAGCTATGGCTTCAGACCTGACACTGACTCCCTCTGTGATCTTGGACAGTTCATTTCCCCTGTCAGCCTCAGTTTCCCCATCTGTTAACTATTAACTACAGAGCAGTAAAGAGGCTCTGTGCAGGTGACCTGGGTTTCCTGCTTCCTGCTCCACACATATCTCCAGTGTGCTCTGCAAGTTCAGAACATAGCCTGGGGACCCTAAGGCCCCAGTGTTCCTGCTGCCTGCTTGCTGTGGTTGGGCAGCGCTTATGCTGATCAGTGTCTCTTTGTGTCCCAGGTGAATGGTGTGAATGTGGTAAAGGTAGGGCACAAGCAAGTGGTGTCGCTGATCCGGCAGGGGGGAAACCACCTGGTGATGAAGGTTGTCTCCGTCAGCCGCAAGCCAGAATCAGAAGAAGTCGTCCGGAAGAAGGGTAGGTGTGGAATGGCCTGGTATTTCTGAGCAATGAACAAGTGAGCTCCGTCTCATTCGGCAGGTTGTCCCCCCGGCTCAGCCTAGCCATTCGTTACACTGGGTTCAGTCTCCCACCAGCCCAAGCTCTCGGTACCTCTGGAAGCCTTTCTCTGCTGCCAGGGCCTGTTATCCCTCTTCCCCTGGGGCCCTTATCTCACCAGCCCGGCTCATTTAACCCAGGGGGCACTGGCTGACAGTGAAGTGGGCCTCCAAGCTAAAAGCATGAGTGGCTGCAGTGTGAGCTGAAGAGCTGTGCCCCTGCTGCGGGCACCGTAACCACTTGTATCCTCGCCAGATTGGCACAGCGTGGGCTTGGACCCGTGAGTAATACTTTGCCATTAGTTACCCAGGGCCTGTTTACTGCCCTGGCCCAGTCCAGCGAAGGGGAGAGGCGCTGCCGGCTGCTCTGTCCTGATGACAGGAGACTGGCTCCCTGTCTGTGAAGCTAGACGGGGTTTCACAGCAACGGTGGGGAGGAAGTGAAGGTGCAGTGGCTCTCGGGATGCAGCCTGAGCTAAAGCAGGCTGGAGGGACCCGCCAGCCTGCGCAGACACCCCTGGGATGCACTTAGCACGGGAGACACTGCAGCATAGGCCTACGGGCACCGCGTCGGCCAGAGCACTGGACTGCGCGAAGCAGGAGAAGGTGTCCCAGCGCGGGATAAGTCTCAGGCTGGCGGCTCCAGCCCGGATAGAACAAGGGAGTCCTGTCCAGAACAACGTACTAGAGACCAGTGGTACCAGGCACCTTGGGCTCAGGATGGCATGCCAAGGGCTCCCCCTTGGGCTGAGAGAACCACCCGGACTCTGGCTCTGTAGGGCATCCTGAAGTGCCCCCTCTAGCTTCTGCCCGGCAGAGCCCCCCAGTGTTCACCAAAAGATGGAGGGCTGGGATCTCCACTCAGAGCTCAGGGGAATTAGGGGAGGGAGGCCACAGGGAGCCAGGCATGGCTTCCTTATCCTGAGCCCCGGAGGCTCTTAGGCCCTTTAGCCAATGGAGGACAGGGCAGAGCAGAGCTCCGTTCCACCATGCCCCCCTGCCCTGCGCCTCACCCCTTTCCCGGGCCCTTGGGGTGTCTGGCAGCTTTATGCAGGGGAATTATTCACGCAGCATCTACGTAAGCAGCTGTAGAGGACTGGAGAATTCAGCCCTGAGTTTATAGGCTTTCCTTGGCAAGCTGTTGCACCCACAGACCACCCAGCATGGACCCAAAGACACGTGAGGCTTTGGCAATTCCCAGGCTCTGTGCAGGAGGAGTCTTTGCGAAGTGCTTGTCAGGTGAAGGGAATTTCTTCTGGTTTCTGGCACAGCTCCTGCCATCTAGAGCTTTTCCCAGACTGGCCAAAGGGGCTTTTCTTCAAGGGTGGAGAGGTGCCAGGTGGGGATTGTGCCCCTGGCCTGGAGCGGGAGGTGCCGGATGTGGATCATGCCCCTGGCTCAGAGGGAGAGGGACCAGGTGGGGATCGTGCCCTTGGCCCAGAGTGGGAGGGGCCGGGTGGAGTTTTTTCCACAGAAGGGAGGTGCCGGGTGCAGCTCATGCCCCCGGCCCGCAAGGGGAGGTGCCGGGTGGGGGTCATGCCTCCAGCCCACAGGGGGAGGTGCCGGTTCCGGCTCGTGCCCCTGGCCCGGAGGCAGAGGTGCTGGGTGGGGGTCGTGCCCCCAGTCCACAGGGGGAGGTGCCGGGTGGGGGTCATGCCCCCAGCCCGAGGGGGGATGTGCCGGGTGGGGGTCGTTCCCCCGGCCCGGAAGGAGAGGTGCTGGGAGGGGGTTGTGCCCCCGGCCGCAGGGGGAGGTGCCGGTTGCGGCTCGTGCCCCTGGCCCGGAGGCAGAGGTGCTGGGTGGGGGTCGTGCCCCTGGCCCGCAGGGGGAGTGCTGCGTGGGGGTCTG